CCTGAAAGAAAGGGAGGTGCCAACGTGAAATCATCCTTCTGTTACGTGCAAGGCCCGTGTGAAACAGGTGAAACCGTGGACCTATCCTAGCATGGTGCTTGTGCCTCTTTGTACAAAAATGGTCATGGCATGGCCGCCGCAGAGAGAACTAAGGTTCCCCCTGGCCGCCTTCCATTACCATTCTCTACCACCCGCCTTTTGGGAACGAGAAGCTAAGGCTCTCATTCCTGTAGGCTCACTGAATCGTAGATGGTGAGGACGAAATGGTGACTCTGCTTGAGCGTTGTTAAGCCTAGGGTATGGCTTCTTGAAAGTCTTCTCTCCATTGGTCTTTGGCATTTGGCGGCAAGAATCGGAGCCACTTGGGCTTGTCTAGTTGCTCACATTTGTCAAATGCATTGAGCCGGGCATATGTACCTCGCCATGTCTTGCTTTTCCCTTTTTTACAACCTGCAAAAGCACGCCGCGCAATGTAAAGCAGGGATGGTGGGATGTAGACTTCTTGCAGCGAGGTACACTTGAGAAAGGCTTCTTGCTCAATGATTCGTAAATTTCGGGGAAGGCTGAGTTGCTGCAGCTGTGAGCAGTGTGCAAAGGTTGAGCCCAAAATTTCAATGACGTCCGTTTGGGACAAATCAACAGTTTGCAGCTGCTGGCAGCTCACACAGGCGGCCGATCCTATCCTGTTAAAATCTGGCGGCAGGAAGAGCGCTACAATGCCTGCTTCCAGGAAGCAGCAGTCGGGCAAGCATCGGTTCGGATATGCAGGACTACACCCTGACATACCCAAGTTGAGGTGACGCAGGGCCGTGCATCCTTGAAACACTCGAGGCCGCAATTGTGCTTGGGGGGCTAGTATATTGCCAGGGCATTGAGTCGTGCCTATTTGTGTTAGGGAGCAGCACTCCTCAAAGACCTTAGTGCCGAAATGTTTGCAGCCAGGGGCTGTCACTACTCGCAGGACCTGACATCGGCTAAAAGCGCCGTGCAGCAGGCTAACGACCGTTTCCGGCAGGTGGACTACTTGCAGCTGTCGACAACTCCTCCACGCAGCTTCCCCTACAATCCGAATACCGTTCTCGACTGGGACATGACGAACTTCCGTGTGAAAGGAAAAAGCTTGTGGTGGGATTTTATCATTCCTACCATGCGGCACTCGGATAGCCTTGGCTTCCCCTTTGAGTTGCCCTTTGTGTGCTGCTTCTACAAAACATTGTTGAGCAATCACATAGTAGCAATGGTTGGCCCTCAGTTTACTCTGTATGGGGTCTGCTAGGACTGGTGGGTGTCTGTTTGCACAAATTGCAATTCACACCCGAGGGTGCTATTGCATCCCAAGTGGGGGAGCTCTGCCAATACGGCATTTTCGAAACCCCGAAGGCAGGCATGTGCATTCGGATCTACTGCTATGGGTAGCTCCTCACCTGCCAGTGTAATGAGTGTTAGGGGCTGTGCCAACGGCCCTGCTGCCTCGAGGGCTGGGTCCAGGCGCATCAGCTGTCATGCTCCGCTCTTGCGATTCATAGCTTGAGCCCCTAGAAATGCAGGGCAGGAATGTTCAGTTTCGACCGGCCCCGATACGGAAACGTCCGTTGCCCTTCACTCCCTTAGCTTGTGGAATGCATCTATGTATGGACTGTAAGGTGCACCAGGGTGAGCGCTCACCTGGCTGGACCCGAGCTAAGGCTCGCATCCAGACTAGATGGATTACAGGAAGGCCACAAACTGCAATGTCCAGACAGGATTTCATCAGGCCAAACCAGAGACACATCCCGTGTCCGGGATCATGCGCAGCCATGGCGGCCATCTCATTTCTGGGACTGCGAAATCCTGCGTGAGTGTGAGTGTGGTTATCCCTGTAGAGCTGAGGCAACCTGGGCCAAGTCGCTGGCAGTGGTTTGCGATGGCAGCTCGCTCGGGGAGGGAATCTCTCGCAGGGTAAATTCAGCAAGGTTGATACAGCCTCGAAAGAGGTAACGCCCAAACTTGGTGGTGCTGCTAAACTGGTTGGCAACTCCTTCAGCAGCATATACCCACTGCAAAGAACAGCACTCCGCAAAGGCTTTGTAGCCAAACTCCCGGCAACCAGGGCAGTGACACTGCAGTTTGCAATTTCTAAACGCGTTGTCAGAAATGCCAACGACTGATAAGTCAAATACCTGACTCAATGCTGACATGACGTAGGCGTGGCACTCCTGCGAACGCCCCTTCTGGGACTACTCCCTCTGGGTTCTGGGGACGTGGACAGCAAGCGGGATGTTGCAGATGGGACACCCTCCTAGGAGTTCCTGCGAGGGTAGGACTTCGCTGCAATCCTTAAAGATGATGCAGTATTCCATACTCTGTTGCAGTTTGTCCCAAATCGGCTCTAGGTGGGTCTGTGTGGCCATGTGCAAAAATTCAATTGAACACCCAAACACTTTGAGGTCAGTCACTGAGACAAGATAATCCATAACATGATCCTCAAGGTCCTCAAATCGGTCGAACTTCGTAATTCTGAGAGAGACATTGATTGTCGCGCCCGAAAGGGCAGTTAGCACCAAGTGGCAGTCCATAACATAATAAAACTAAAAAACAACATCCGTAACCTTTTGGCTCAAGGCGAGGCCTGTGAGGACTACAAGAGAGGGCTGCCAACGGCGGAACAGTCCCTCATATGGCAGAGGGTGCAAGCAGAACCGTGCGCCAAGCACAGCAGGCTGACTGGGAAGAAGACAGCTTCCTTCGACTGTACCTCACCACACTGGCGGGTACGGTGATACAGCTACCGGTCCCTGTCAGCATCTACCACACGTGGGACATGTTGGAGGAATACCTAGTTGAGCGCCTGCGGTACATTAGTCCCATCGAAACGTTTGGGTGTGAACTCACCTTACTCAATGCGGATACTCAGGTGGCGCTGCAAGACCCTGTACAAGAAGAACTTTGGAATACCAATCACTTCTGTCTTATCGTACACGAGTGCTTTCGGTGTCTGGAGAATAACAAGCCTCTTCAGGGGCTTGATTATGAAGACTGCCCAAAGGCGATTCGAGTCCCTGTCTCTGAATCAGGTATTCTTGAAGCCAAGGCCTTCCACTCGACCACGTGAGTCCGCCACGCCTGCTTAGATGTTGGCTTTAGCACAATTAGCCCGCAAGGGTGGCGGTATTGCCACTCCCTGCGGATCGTCAAGCTGCCTGACACGGTTGTGACGTTAGGATATGCAGCTTTCCAAGGATGTTACTCCCTACAGGTAGCCGAAATGCCAGGATGTGTTGAGTTTGGTGTTCGAGTATTCTCTGAATGTTGTGCGCTGGAGAGTGTCGGTAACATTGTCGATGGAGGCAGCCATCTTGCGATTGGAGCCATCGTCAGTCAGTATGCTTTCGAAGAATGTGCTAAACTAGCCCACCTATCTCTACCTCATGTACGAGCAGTGGTTGATAGTAGCGCACTCACTTCCCCACAGGCAGGATTACCTCAAGGCTGCTTTTTCGCAAGCGGCATCCAGCAAGTGGAACTCGGAGACGATACATACCACATAGGCCACAGAGCTCTTGAAAGTTGCAAAGCGCTCACCAGTCAGTGCCAATCTCTCCAACGCGGGCATTCATACCCTACATATGCACACCTTTGCGCAGTGCCACTGCCTGGCAACAGTCAAGCTGCCGAACTGCTTGCGTGAAATTAGGGCAGAAGTGTTTGTGGGTTGCAAAGCCTTGGAGAGACTGACTCTTCCGGGCAGCATTCGTTATCTAGGATTACTAAGTACGCCGAGGCATTTCGGCAAGTTAGTGAGATGTTATAACATTATATTTTTCTTAAGGACAACAAAAGTTAACCAAATATAGAAAAACACCATTTTCAGCCAGAAACAATTGGTTTTGTTACAACAAACACATTTGGTAATGACCATGTGTCCTCAACTCATTTGCTGGTTTGAATTAGAAGCCCGCGCATCTGCGACATGTTATGGTTCAGAAAACAAATTAAAACAATAACAAGTCAATGATGTTTGACAATGGTGGAACATAGGTGTAGTTCTACTGTATCTGATTTTTTTTGGATCCAACCAATCCAGCTGTGGCAACTAAACTAGCATTCTCAGTTGACTCAGTCAGTGTTCGATATGGAAGAACCCGCAGACTGAGCAATTTGATGCTTTGGTTCTTCCAGGGCGGGCACCAATGGTCATTTGGTGCATCACTCGAGCTGCGAGACGGGACACGTACATTGAGCTTGTGGCACTGGCGCAGCCTGAGGGGGAAGAGACTCCTTCCAATCCTGTGGAGGTGTTCAAAGGGCAGTTGGAACCACCTATCGTTTCATTGGTTGCGAGTCGTGGGCGAAGGAACTGGTCCAAGCTTCCTCCGGAAGATGGCAGACAATTTCGTGTTTCGAAGGAGAACGGTGTACCAAAGTGTGTGTTCTGGTTCAAAATTCTAGGGTACTATATATAATTATATATATATATTATATATTATATACTTGTATGTGTATTTTTTTGCATTTTGATTGAGCAGTTCGAGACCGCTGGTTGCTAGTCTGGTTGCTAATTCTCAGCTTCCAGGAGCGTGGTCTGACAGCTGGTGGATTGCTACTCGAAGAGGTTGAGCAGTTGCACGGTCCAATTGTTTGGGAACATGCAACTTGATGTGCAACTGAGTGCCACGATGGTTGGTTGAACGCCAATAGTAACAATACTATTTGAATTTAACATACCTTTTCCATGGGTGGTGGCGGCGGCGGCCGCAGTGTTTAACAAATTGGGTAGTGTAGTGAAGCTCAAGCCGCCAATATTTACTTTAGTTGAGGTACGAATCCTGATCGGGAACTATGCGGCGGTGGCGGATGATTCTTCTGGTTCGACAGCTTTGGTCATTGCCCCGTCTTCAACAGGGCGGGGTCCGGGACCAGTAATCCGCGTTCAAACAGGAGATGCTCCCTCTACAATAGATACAGAGTTCCAGCAGGTGTTGCGTGATTTGGAATTGGGAGAGATTGAAAGTGCCAGGGCGATGGTCAATCAGCTTTGGCAGAAACTGAAGGTTGTGAACGGCATGCGCAGCCGTTCAAAAGGAGGATGTGAATACGCGCCGCTGTGTGTTCTGGACAGTGTGCTCCTAGCAGACAACTGTCGCTCGCTTGATTCCGAGATAGACCTTCTACGTGAAGTGGCCCAGCAGTCGGGGTCTTAGTAATTCCAAATCGCGGGCAAAAAAAGATATTTATTTCTAGTTTCATGATTCATGTGTGGTGCGGTGCATTTCTAGTTGGCTTGTTGTGCTGTCTTCGCGCTCGGTGTATCAAATAGTGGCGATGACAACGGCGACGCTCACGAGTTAAGGTCTTTGTCCCTGACCTTGCACGCGGACGTTGCAGACCATATGGTGCGCCAAGGGATTAGACTTCCAAAGCGTACTTTGCTCTATGAGTACCGGATGAATGTAGACTGGGTGGCAATGCTGTGGGCGCGGGATCATGTGTTTGCCGCTGATGGTGTGAAATGGCATTGCCATTTGAGAATCGACTCTTCTCCGCAGTGGGGCAAGAACTATCTGGTAGGTGAGGTGGACCGTGTATGCACTGAATCATGTTCACCAACAGATCCTGGAAATGTGCACCCCGTTGGAATTTAGCAGTAAGTTGTTTTTCATTTGACGTATTGCCTTTATTAATTAGTGTACTTTCCAAACCAGGATGAGGTCAAGGTTCAAAGTTCAAACCCAAACTGTTTGTTTAAGGCTGGCATCAGTGGATATCAAATGTCGATTGTGTCCTTTGCAAGTGCTGGGCAAGCAGGCGACACACACTGCGTATAAAGCCAGAGCAACCTTACGCATGCTTTGTCTGGAAATGCCATCTGAAGACGTCGCACGGTCACGCGTGCGTTCACTCCTCACCGACATGGGTGTTGAGAGTGGGCTATGGAGCATGCCATCGCTCAAGGATGATGGCAGTGTTGTGTTCCCTGAATCCTTACCTTTGGGAGACATCGACCACATGCTTCATCATGTAATGGAGGATGCGGAAGCCGCTTTTGCCATTGACAATCCTTACTGGACAGCGTGGGACAACCAAATAAAAGGGTTATCAAAGTTCTTTTCCAAGAGAGATTGCTGCGATCGATATATTCAGAAGCAGGTATTGGAGAACAACAAACTATCTCAACACAGCAAGCGTGTAATTGCAAGGCTTTTTGACATGACCTGCCCTACACATTGTCGAACACGGTGGCACTATGCTTTTGAAGTCATGCGGTGGGTAGCCGGAAGAGAAAAGCTCATTGAGTACTTGGAGCCTGCTTCAGCAACAAACGCAGATGACACTTCAACAGCAGAAGCTGCAGCTTTGCAGCAGCTGGGCACAAGTTCCGAACAACGATTGCGATTTTGGGCAATCTTCTGGACATATTACTCCCTCCAGAGCTGGGGATTTGGGGTATACCTTTACATGCATTCATGCCCGTGCCCGGAACATCAAAACCAGGAGTCGAAACTGCAGTTGCTTAGGAGGAAGCCGTGCAAGTTGAACGGTCGACAACTTATCAACCTGTCCAATGGGAAGTGCTCCTGCTTCCTTTCTGATCTGAAAGCACTTCGTTTGGAAGCCAATCAGTCTCTTTGGCAATCAATGATAACTTTTGACTGTGATTTTGGACTGGTGGTCGGTGGTAGTGGCGGATTCGTTGGTTATGCTGCTGCATATCTTGACGATAACTATACTATATGTAATACATAACTTATCATTATTATCAACCTGCTGACTTTGTTTTCTGATTCTGAATTCTGAAACTGAAAATTGTCAGGAAAGCTTCTGACGCATTGTCACGGCTGGCTCAAGTGGATGCAGAATGCGAGAGGATCATCAAGCGCAGCTTTGAGACCGCAAAGGGTGCGATGATGCTTCGCTTTCAGCAGGGGACAAGCTTTTATGAAGAGTTTCCTTGGAGTCTCCCAAAGCTCATGACATTCATTCTCGTTGGTGAGGGCGACAGGGAGGCTGCAATCAAGGAATCACGTGCGTCAGCAGCTGAGCTGATCAGACTCTACCGTGCTGGCTCCCTCCAACAAGGCATATTTGCGGACAAGTTCTTTGCTGCAGGACTACCTCTGGCTGCTGAATTGGCTGAGTGGGCATTTGGCTCCCATTGTATGCAAGATGGATTGTTTCATGAACTGCTATCTTACGCATTTAGCTTGGTGGCCATGCAAAGACTGGAGAGCCGTCATCATTTGGTCAATATGCGTGTGTCGCCAGCCAGAGCATCAAGTGCAGCATATGTGTCAGCCAATCTTCGAAGAACTTTGAACAATGATGTCAAAGAGGAATCGTTCAGACAAAAGTTTGAACACTACCTTCAGCACTTCGAGGAGTTGGTTCCGGAAACGTGGCAAAGCAAATGCGAATTGCACAAGCTCATCTCTGGCCATTCATTGGCACTTATGTTTCAGGATGTGTCTGCTGACTGTGCTTTGGTTCAGGCTTATTCATTGCCACCTCGGCCCCGTCGCAATGATCTGATCTTGAAGATGCATGAACATGTGCGGGTTGCTTTGGCGCCCGGAAGTTGTTACGCCGTGCCTGTCAGTCAGACCGACACAGGTGCCACAGTCTACATGATTGTCAAGTTGGTAGACAAGCGGCCTGATGCTAAGAAATACATGCAACGCTCTCTGCAGTGGAACACAAAAGCTGATCCTTGGCACGATTGTGTTGGGGTGATTGCTCTGGGAACCACAACAGTGGAGCCTGAGTCTGAGTGCGTCCCTTGTCAAGATGGCAAGGTCGATCTACTGCCTCTGCCTGCAGACACGGAGGCTGATGTTGAGATGGGAAGTGTTGAAGCTGTGCAGGTAGAGACTTTTTTCAAGTACAACTTCGACCATGTCTACAAATTCCAAGAGGCTGTTCACACTTGCAAGCTATCAGAAGACGCAATCTGTGGACGTATGGAAGATGAGGATGACACAACTGACATTGGAGGGCTCGACAATGTTACTATGATGCAACCACGCAGCATCTAACACACATTTTTTTGAGTTTGTGATGCTCAGCATGTGACACTCAAACCGAGCAAACAATGAATCGTCACACCAAGCTCTGGAAACGTGTGTTGTGTCCAGTGACTTTTTGTAACGGTACTACTAGGGCCAGGATATATTAATCATATATGTGTAGTTTTATATTTGCATTTGCTAGGTCTATCAATCTATCTGGCTTTATTTGTCAGGCAAGCCATTATGGACATTGGAGAACATGCAGCAACGATGGGTAAGCCCATCTCATATGAGAGACGCTTTCAATCTGCTGTTGGGTGGCTAGTGCGAAATGGTTTTGCATCTGTGACGAAGCAGCAACAGCTAGTATTGCTGAGCTCATGTTTGGAGGGGCGCTGTGTGGTTAGCAAGCCAACGCTCGTGGAGCTACCAAACACAGCAGAAGGCAGCAGCTGGTTTGACCTGCGAAAGAAGCTACTCGCAGAAGGTTGGACAGAAGGATCCATTTCTTCCGCTTCAATTGAGGGCAAAGTCTTCCACAAGAGGAACATGCTGAAACAATATTTGGAGTTATTGCTTGAGAGAACTTTGGAATAATTTAGTATCGAACAGAAATCATAGACTCTTATATATTATATATCATAGACTATTTGAGCTGGATAGACTACTTGGGATTTGCTAACTGAGGAAGCACATATGTGGCAATGTGTGAGGACTCCGGAATGTTTTCGCACGCTGTGCTGACTGCCGGCTACTACAAATGCATGCTCTCTGCAAGCAACCACCATGCAGAGGCAACCTTGTCCATCCATTACCAGAAACTATGGTTTTGTTGTCTCACCGGCAGGCCGTCGAAATTCCAAAGACTATGACAGCAGAAGGATATCGAGAACTTGAACGGTTCTTGGAAGGCATGGTTTTCTATCCACCATAAACATGTGAATTGTCTGACTTGGCAGGTGAGTCGTGTGCAGACCCAAGACTATCCAGCAATTTCTTCAGAACACCCGGGAAAGTTCAAGCTCAAGATGCAAAACCCAAGCCTAAGAGGAAACAAACCAGGAAACGTAAGGTTGTCAGTGATCCAGACACAAGTACTGACCCAAAAACAAACCAACATGACATTGTTGAAGTTGTAGATTCAGATTCCAGCGAGCACAAACCTTGCGAAGTGGAGCTGCCTGAATCTCTTGGTGGGAGGCGCCTCGTTATTGGATGTTGTATCGGGCTGGTTTCCAAATAGTTTTTGTTAAAGACTCCTAGCGAACCTGTCATGCAAGTACTTGTCAGGGAGACAAACCAAGAAGTCATTGAGGAGCATGGGACTGAGACATATCAAATTCTACAAGCTTAATAGAAATATATACAAACTGTTATTGAGTCTATGGTACTCACACGGCCCAGGCCTATGCAGCAGGATGCTGGGTCAGCTTCCGAACAAGAGCCAGTGGCATTGAATATTGAGAGAAAGGTCAAGACTGATGGTCATGGAAAGGTAGTGGACATCGCGTTGCCATTGCTTTTGAAAGTTTTGCGTAGTGACGAACATTGCGCCAAACCACCCAGAGATCAAGTGAGAGTGTGCTTGGGTATGGTGCTATACTCTCAAGTTTTCTGGGGCGCGAAGCTGTGGTTTACTAGAAAGCGGACAGTCGAAGATTTGATCTTAAAATTCTATTTTGACGAGGTCAAGGCCTTACTGTAGCGCTTAGAGCTTGGTGTTTCACACGCTAGTAGCACGTCTTGCAAAGCGAAAAATAATGTTCAATGGCTTCAGGTATCATTTGCGTGTTGTGCTTACGATGTGGGGCGCGGAGGTTGTGCTCAGCATGCGAAACATTACCAGAATATTTGGCTCGGAATGTGACTCGTAATGTCACTAATGTGACTCAGTAGAGCAACTCCAGCTTCACAATGGACTTTGAATCATTGACGTCACACAGACATTTGAAGGACTGTTTGATATGTTGTTATCTTCAATCTCATGTGTTTGTTGTTTGTTTGTTTGTTCAATACTTATATATTCATATGCACATGTGTATATATATATATGCATCGTTGTCGCAGGACAGTAAATCCAAGAGGAAGACTCCAATGAAATCAAAGGCCTTTCTTGTTGAGCGCGCAACACATACACAAAAATGTTTATTTTTCACCAACAGGACAATCGATCCAAGGTGAAGGCAAAGGCACGTGATTCTTGTCGAGCGTTCAATGTGAGACACAACTCTCATTCCAACTGCCCAGTGGTGCTTGCAGGTCCAGAAAAAGCCTGGAACTCGCCCCCAAAGAAACAAGGAGATGGTGTTTGATGTTCGCAAAACTGATTTGGACAAGGTTCAACTCAGCTTGTGTGAGTAGTGTGATGTGTACAGGACATAGCCAAAGTTCGAAGAGGAAACAAAAGACCAGCCGGTCACAAGGTGCTGCACTTACACGGTCCAAATGGTTTAATGACCAGCCACTAACTGTTTGGCAGGCTGAAACATCACCTTCAAAACGAAGCAGAAAGAACACTGAGGAGTCTTGAGTCTTGATATGTATTTCTATGTGTGCAATGTTTTCCATTGAGCTTCATTGGACACAACAAGGTTGCGCAACATGATTGCACATATGGTGTGTTGCAGGACAGCCACACCACACCAATGAAGACATCGGTTGCATCGTCGATGGCGGCGGACTCTGTAGAATTTCCAGAGATGAGTTTCATTGTGAACCAAAAGATTGCTGGTGGCTCACACATGTTCAAGTGGGGGAAGCAATTCATGAAAGCCATTGACTCTTTCACGCCAGCTCCTGCTATGCCTTCTTGGACAGGAGTGCAGGTGTGTACGGAATTTTCAGGTACTGGTTGTGCAGAGACTGCATTTCAAAGCGCAGCACATCATTTGGGCTTGGATACAGTCTTCCGTTATGCAGCGGATATCGATGGTGAATGTCGAAAGGTCTTGACCACTTCCTTTGATAGTGAGTCGTGTGTGTTTGGTGACATTCTGGAATTGCTTCCTCAAGATCTTCGAACATCTGTTGATGAGATGGTAGAAGAGAAGGCATCTTGACGGTGGTTTTCACACAGCACATTATCACATGTAAGACATTGTTTACAACACTATGACATGATACACCTTGTATCAGTTGTATCTGTGGCAGGTGGCAGTCTTGAAGAATGAGCTATGTGAGGCTCTGGGTATGGACTCAGAGATGATCAAGGCTATGCGCAAGCTGCCTTGCGTTGCGGTCTTTGACAAGTTGTTTTCAAAGTCTGGAGTTCTCAAGAAGAAACTAGGAAATGCACACAAGGGTTGGACACTACAGGGCTACACAGAGGACAAAGGCCAATCGTTACTTGCATTTGTGTTGGACGCATCAACCTTTTGTGAGTTGCAATTTCTTCGACGGAGACTTGACTAAAGCAAAACGTTCTCTTAATATCTTTCTTTGGACTTGCATGTGCACCTCAAATAGTTTGGATTCAGTTAGTTTAAGAATGCTTTTAGATGCATTCTATGTTATATTTATCATAGAGTTTATCATTGGGTTGATGATTTCTTCAGGAGGTCGATGACTTCTTCAATTCGTCAATGAGTTTGTCAATTCGTCAATGAGTTCGTCAATTCGTCAATGAGTTCGTCAATTCGTCAATGAGTTCGTCAATGAGTTCGTCCATTCGTCCATGATTGACGAACTTTTAAAGGGGATTGACGAACTATTGACGAACTCATTGACGAACTCATTGACGAACTGACGAACTCATTGACGAATTGACGAACTCATTGACGAATTGACGAACTCATTGACGATTTGACGAACTCATTGACAAAATGATAACCATAATGTTTATGGATAAATTGAAACATATGAGACAAGATATCTTACATAGACACACACCAACTCTGCTGACTGCTCAAGAAAAGCAAGGAAAACGTATCAAGAGCTTCGCAGCCTGATTATGGATCCCCTTGTGACCCTGAACACACACACCTAGCTTCCTGGCTGTGACTGCTGGTATATATGTTTGTGTTGTCTCTACTGGGGGGTTCTTGTAGTTCTGTTGGCCAACTAAGTTGCTACAAGCACGGTGGTATTTGCAAGCGGCAACCATCCACTGTGGCTGACACCGTCTTGAAGGTAATGGCACTGGGTAGTCCTTGCACTGCAGCTTGTTGTTGAAAGTAAACAACAATAATTATGTTGGATTGAACACATTGGTTTTGACCAATGGCCATCTTCCCTGAGCAAACCAGGATTGGAGTGGATGGGGTGATATGCTGGGACTTGAAGGAAAAACAATGAAAGTATTTTTGACAGCGTGCCTTCTCTACTCTATTTGTAGCAGTTGCGTTTGTTACCTTTCCTTTGCAGGACTTCGAACACCAATACTAAGGTGTAAGCATATATCAGAATCACAGTTTGACATCATTGTACACGAAAATGTTCGGGAATTTCCGGAGGAGTTGATGGTTACCAATCTCAGACACTTTGCGTAATCAATTGTTCTTTTTTTTTTGAAGGCATGGGGTTAGACATTTCATCCACGTCACCTTATATACTGAGGAGGCCACTACCAGCTGGCAGGGACATGTCAGCTAGATCCGCGGTGTGTCAGCGGCTTTCCTATCTCGCGACCGCGCAAATACATGATCTTCCTTCGAGCAGGTCTCAAATTGGAACGTCCTTTAGAGAAAATCACCACACAGCTGAGCCTGCACCGACACCCCAAAGACTGCGCTGCTAGCTGGAATGATTTACTGCTGAATTTGGAGACAACGCATGTGTGCAATGCGAATTTACAAAAACGTGAAGATCTCAGACTACTATCGTGTCGAGCGGAGCCGGAAAGTTATATTTCACTTGTCATGCTATCAACAAGATGTGTTTTCTTTTTTGTTTTGGGAGGGGGGTTCACTCAGGCTTGGATGCTTATCGTAAGCGTTTTCCTGGTTTCAAGATTGCTGACCTCTACCAATCACCAGAGTCGAGACCTAGGCAGGGCGTGCAATACTGCCCTGCATTGACAACAGGTTGCTCCCGACTATGGCTTGAGGAGTACTCCAGGTTTGCACATGGTGTGGAATTGCTGCTTCTTCATGCAATCCCTGCAACTAGGGAAGCAGCAAAAGCCATGAAATGCGGTCAACTTCAATTGAATCAATGTAGCCATCGTGCTTTATGCAAAATGGCAGGAAATTCAATGCACTCGGCTTGTGTCGGCCTTTTGTGTGTAGTTAGTCTCCGCTTTGTTCTGGCAGAGTGACTGGGTGGGATGTTCTGCGCAAACAAAGTGAGTGTTCGGACGATGAATGCACACGGCTTGTGTCACCAGTCTTTTTCAATGCTGCTTGCATGTGCTGCCATGTAGGTTGTCTTTGGAAACAGCTGTTCGGGGTTCAAAAGAAACAGGTTGCAGGTTCAGGTATTGTGTTGAAGTAGAAGGACATGTCAGATGATCCAGCTGCACCTGTCATTCATCTAGTGTAGGGTGCCCAGAGCATACTTTTGTTCTTTGTTTTATGTATTGCAATTTGTATTTTTTTGTGAGTGTGCATGATCTGTTACTCCTAGGTGTATGGATTGCAAGGAAGCAATTGGCGATGGCGCTGAGCGGAAGTTTGGATCACTCTTTAAATGTTGTGACTGCCACTCTAGCTATCGCTATTGCAGGGATCACATGGAAGGCTGGAGCAAGATGTCCCCTGAGGTGCGCTCAATAGGTGTTTGTTTCTTGAACCAACTTGGTCACCTGTTCTGTCACCATTGGTCAGGAAAAGCGTCGCAACATAGTGGCAAACAAGGGCAAGGGAGGAAGGGGAAAGAAAAGAACATTGGTCTCTTCAACTCAGGCCAGGGCCTGGAAATACATACCATAATCACCGCAATCATAATCATATCTTTGCTAGATGCTGAGGTGCAGGTTGAAGATTTCAAAAGCGCACGAGGTGATGTGCCACATCTGAATGAGACCAGGCAGTGGGGGAATTGAGATGGTAGTTTTTGCTTGATATTAAAACACTTAAGCTTAACATATATTTTATACACCTAACATATATTATATACTATTTGATATATAGTTGTTTGGTTATTTAATATAAGCTATATATATATATGACAAAGTATTATGGTGTTCAAACACATAGAAGATTCATTTCTGTGGTCTGGAGGTTTCTGAAAAAAGGAAAGAAGTGGTATGGGTGGAGTGATGAAGAGGCTGCCCGTCAGTGGGACGATGCGTGCCGAGATCCACATGTGCCAAAATCCAGAGATTGCGTTGGCAACCTCTGTGTGGCCAAGCTTGAAACACGCATCTCATCATCAGGTGTCCATGTAGGTACAATTCGAGGTGTGAAAGAGAATGAGCAGACTCAGATCGAGGATGGGGCTAGTGAAACAGTGTTCAAGGAACTCAGAGACCGTGCACCCCTTAGCTTCTGGAGGTGTGCTCAATAATTGAAATTGAGAGTATCACACCATTGGGTATTCACTTATTGGCTGCCCAGGTGCATTATCATCCCGCACGGATGTGGAATTGGGGGGCTGGGGAACTCCTCAATCGCAACTTTGTTGAAAGCAGGGCTCTTGGTGATTCAGCGGCGGCGTCGAAGACAAAAGCAAGGAAGAAAAAACAAAAAGGATACCAATAAGGAACATCCGGGCTACAGTCCAAAAAAAACAGTTGTTGTATAGGATCGTATCTCATATACATGTTATCCATCCATGGCGCCAGAATGTAATTACAAAACAACCGTTTTATCACTACCCTATTTTGTGTTTTAAATTTCAATCGATGACTGTGACTGTTATATTGTTTATAGTGTTGCTCATTAGCATCACTAGATCCATTCACAGGAGCCAGCCAAGCCAAAGGAGGACAACAAGCCAAAGCCAACTCGCGGAGATACAGAGTCTCGGAAACATTATCTTTTTGGTTGGTAGATGTTTTCAACAAGAACAATTATATAGAACATTAAAGCTAATCATGTCCCTTTCAGTTAGGGATCTAGTTGCTGGTGAGCTCCAACCGTCCAAGGAATTGGAGCAGTTGGAGATCAAACGCAAGTGCATCTTGATGAAGAACAAGTGGCTGGACAAAATAAAGGAGCTGGACACAGAGATCTCAGTCAGCTTGTCCCGCGCGAAGAAGTATGATGAAAGTATTGAGTTACTTGCATTCATTGCAATATCCAAAAGTTTTATATTTTTGTGTGGGGGTGGTGGGCCGGCCTATCATTGTCAGTCAAAGCAATTGAAGCATATAGTTCACGCGTGCCACACTGAGGTTGGCAAACTTATTGAAGTCCAGGTTTGAAAGGCTGTTTGCGATGGGGCCTGATGTGCAATTGTCTTCTATGACTTCCGACAAAGACTCCATCATCGCTGAGTTCGACAAGAGCAGCGCCGTGTCCAAGCTAAGCCCACTTTCTCATTCCCGGCACAAGACGCTCTTGGCGCCAACGAAGCAATCTCTTCAGGACTATGACAAGACCATGGTCTCATCAGAGCAATCCGTTCGGAAAGCACTTGTTCAACTGGACAAAACCATCGACACTTTGGAAGCAGCCGAAGAGCAACGCCTTGAGCAAGAGCGAAGGCCAAGTTTCAGTGTGGTTGTACTGTACGGTTGTACTACTAGCTGTTTGCCTTAAAACAATAAACGTGTGAGTGAGTGCCATGAGTGCTGGATAAAACTTTGTGTTTCCAATCTGGTTTGAGTTGCTTTCATGTTTGTGCTGGACAGGATGCAAGAACTAAAGCGCAAGAAGCTGAATGCGATTGAGGACAAAATGAAGCAAGCGCGCAGGAAGGGCAAGGAACAGGCAGAAAAAGATGTTCGTGCTCATGGTTCTCATTCTTCAAACGACGAAGACGAACCTGAGGGATCTGTCGCAAGCAGCAGCAGCAGCAGCAGCAGCGACGAAGAGGACGATGAGGACAAGAAGGGCGAGGGAAAGAAGGATAAGGGCAAGAGTGGCAAGAGCAAGGATGGCAATGACCATGACCATGCAACCGCTGTCGAATGGAGACTTCTTTCAGATGCCGATGCCCTGTCTGAGGCCCTTCTCAGGATTCCTTTTTCAACTGAGCATCGAGACTTTCTAGCCAAGCAGCCCTATCTCATTCGACTGGGTGGTGGTGAGGAGCTGAACTTGGATGTCGCTGTGTATGATCAGGACTTAATCCGCTCTGCCCGTAGCAAAGATGGTGAGCACTACAGCCAAACGAGGTTGCGTTCATTCTTGCAACAGTCACATCGCCCCGCGCACTTGGCTGTTTACATTCGCGAGCTGATGACTGGGTACAACAAGCTTGATGAGTTGTACTTTGGTATATATTATGTATTGAAGGCTTTAGTTTTCTTTGTGTGCCTAAAGTTTAGGCAACCACTTGTGAATTATACGACATAATGTGCTTGTTGCAGTACATAGTACATATCATATAGTGCACAGCATTCAGGCTCCCAGACGATGGTGAAGAATCGCTTGCGCTTTTGAAAGCATGCGGGGGACGCATCATCGCGGCCGGTGACAATTGGCATTGGAATGGGGTGTCTGACTACTTATGGTCGAGGTTCATCTACGTTCTGGACGGAAGCCTTTTTTTGTGCATGCATTCCATTCTCCTACTTCAAAACCAACATCGAGAGCAAGGGCTGGACTTTGACTGATTGCGCGGCTCATTTGGGGCACATGAAGCCTCCAGATCTAGCAGCAGCAAATGGTCGAATTGAATTCCTGCAGACCGGACAGGCTGTTGTGATCCCTGCGGGCTACATCATCTTTCATGCCTCAAAAGGACTTCTCCCCGAAGCCTTTCTACCTACTCAGATGAGCAAAGATTCTTTGAGCGATGGATGCTCGCTTTATGCGCCTTGCCTTTTCTTTGTCGGCAGACGTGTTGACCGATTTTGACTTTTGTGTGACGCTCAAACTTGTAAAACAGTATCGATTGCTCAGAAAACACAAGAGATTGAATTCTGTCAAGATGCTAGTGTTTGAGGTCTTCACTGGTCTTCCCATGAACTTGATGAATGCGGAGTCTTTTGAGGACCTCCTCCAAACAGTGCAACTTGCAATTCATACTTGTGGGGACAAGAAGATCTGGGCAATGCGCAAGGAGGGTCTCTCATTGGGATTGAAGTTTCTCAAACAGTTGGCGCCGGCTGCCAACGTGAAGACTGAGACTTTATCTCCAGGCAACAAATCCAAGGCTGGTGGTTCGGAAGCACCTCAGGACGCATCCATGCTACGACCAGAGGATGTGGCAGACCTTGGAGAGGAGATCTGGGCGGAGCTGGAGAAGGCTAAAGCCCACCAATTCTTTCCCGCATACTTGCAAGAGCTTCTATCTGAAGTGGATGAGGACTATGAATTTGGACATGAGGACGGAGATCCTGCGGCTGACTTGGGGCGTTGGCTGGTTTGGACAATGCCCTGAGCATGAGCCGCCTGAGCTTCCGTCTGGACAACCTTCAGGAGATGATGCTGATGCCAGACCGGCCTCCCTTGATGTGCCACCAGAAACTGAAGCCCCTGCACTACCTGCTTCAGGCTGCGCGGCTGCGGGTGAGATTGCAGCTGCAGCTGAAGCGCCTTCTCAGGCAGAAGAGCGTAAGACTGAAGCTGCAGCTGAAGCACCTTCTCAGGCAGAAGAGCGTGAGCTTGATCCTCCAGCTCCAGCCGCGCCAGCAGCAGAGTCAGCAGAGCATGGTAAGCTGATGTTGGACTACACAGCGCGGCCAAAAAGCATCAGTGATATCCGACGCTTCTTGAAAAAGAAGGGAGCACAAACTCTTGCAGAGGAGCGTGTTCGTGCGCTTCAGCATCCCATGTTCAAGAAGTACTCCTCTGCAATGCTACGTGGAGAGTCTATGGCTTCTTGGGGTGTCATTGATGGTGAGAGTGACACCAAGGCCTTGCAAGATTTGCGAGGTTTCATTGTATGGTTGCATGACAAGAGTGGTTTGTCCTCAGATGAACTGCATGAGACACGTGAACCTGCTCAAGAAACGGAAGCTGACATTACTTTGGAGTCTTTGGCAGCAAAGACCGCCACGCAGGCAGTCCTTGATGCTCAATTCGTTGAGGTTGACCCCATGTATGAACACTTGCCGAATCCTTCCTCAGATGCAATGGATCTTTTGAACGCAGGGCATGGTGCGAAGCCAACCGCAGCCGCAGCCAAGGCGAAACACGCCATCAAACCATCCAAAGCCAAGCAGTCCCACATCGAACAATATGCTGCGAAGAGCAAGGACCGCTCAAGTGAAGTTATATTGAATTTGGGTTATTGTTCATTTAAGTGTGTGTTTTTCAATCATTGTTTATTGTTCCGTGCGCGGGGGGGGGAAGTACCAAAGATGTACGTGTTACGCAGTTACGCAATTCTCATGGCAAGGGAATACTTGACCAACCACCTGTGCACGCAGGAGCAAGAGCAAGTTGCGCTACCATCTACTCCGCAGGTGGCTATCCGTCGGCGTCAGACAACCAAGAGCCCCGCCCCGTGTGCTGAGTGATCCTGAGTTACACGCTGCAGCTTTTGTGTTCATTCATTGAACTGACCATCAATGTTGAGGAAGCCTGCTTGCGAGCCGTTTACCGTACAATCGCCACCCACAAATTGATCTTAGTTTTTTTGGGTCAGTCTGGACTCTGGACTTGGGTATATATTTGCTGACAGGTGTTGCTGTTGACCTTTGCTATATTGTTTGTTACATGTTGTAAAAAGGCTTCCTCTGCTACACGCGAGGCTCTTCAACACGCAGCCAGTCCAAGGGATGCAGTCGATGTTGAAAGTGATAAACTATATACTCTAATCTCAATGTTTAAACTTTCTTAAGCACTGCGAATGATTGGCTGGAAGTTGAAAGTCGGTGTAAAAACTTAGGCCACTGTGCGCCGCCAGTGGTTGACTTGAGAATGCGCCAAAAAAAATGCTGAAGTCTTGCTTCTGAGTTTTTTGCTTGTTTTTGGGTTGGTTGAGCTGATTTCAGCTCTTCATATTGTTTTTTTGAACCCTTTCCAAGTGTTAGTTGGGTACCCGTAGGCAGCCGTAATCTCAAATGGCTCGCCGGACTTAGTATCTAGGATACAGGGCCTTGGGAGACTGTACAGAGCTCTCCTCCCTGGAGTATGCATGGAGCAAGCAGAAAGCATGGCGATATCCGTATGCGGCCGACAATGCCTTTGAAGGCTGTATCAAGCTGACCACCCCAAAGTGGCTCCTCCGCATCCCGCCTAAGGACAGTGATTGGATTGCCCCTTGTAGCTGACAGAATTGAATGAACGCCTAGCAACAACTCATAGAAAAAATGCCAGGTTCATCTCCAGTTAACTTCTCTCTCAGGAGAAGAATACCAAGTCATTATCGACCTCCAAGAGTTTGATCGACTTGATGAGTTTGAAACCGCTGTCCTGGAGCAACTCCCGACCATAGGAGGAAACAACACATTTGGTTGCGAACTCACTTTTGTTCGACGAGATACCGGGTAGCTCCTGCGAAGTCCGATATGGGACACCCTTAGAGACTGTAACCACTTCCAAATTGTCGTCCGTCAATGCAATCATTGTGCAGAGCACAAAGGCCAGACGAGGAAGAACGCCAAAGCACTCCGAGTACCTGCCACCCGTTCAGGGCAGGTGCTCCCCCGCGCTTTCACACATTCGAGTGACATCAGGCGCCTGCAAGTTGAAGCAGGCATACACACCATTGGTGAAGCGGCCTGGCAGCATTGCACTAGGCTTCTTATAGTGCGCCTGCCCAGCTCACTGCTATGCCTGCAAGAAGGAGCCTTTCGATGTTGTTATGTGCTACACACAGTCACAGCCCCAGGGTGCATTGACTTCGGTTGTTGGGCTTTCGAGGAGTGCCACGCGTTGGCCTGGGTTGGAGACCCAGACCAAAGAAGCAACCAATTGGCACCGCAGGCGAGGCTCAACGTCCGAGCTTTTGAGCAATGCCGCACCTTGCGGACAATTGGCCTGGAAAGGACTAAATATAACCCACGAGACCCGCATCGGGTCATTCCAGAAGGCTGCTTCCTAGGGACAGGGCTAGAATGATTGATCTCCCAGCTGACTTCAGCTGGATAGGACCAGTTGCCTGTGAACACTGTACAAGGTTGCAGACGGTGGACCTCTCCCGTACTGGCATTCAAGAAATCGTAGGGGGGCGCTTTTGCCAGCTGCACACAACTACAGTGCCTCAAACTGACCAAGACCCTGAGACGCATGGGGCGAGAAGCCTTCATGAAGTGCAGCTCACTAGAAGTCCTACACACTCCACCTGCCTTGCTATACATCAACAAGCGAGCCTTTGCTGGCTGTACACAGCTCTGCAAACTCGTCCGAATGGGCAAGAAAGGAACTTGGAGGGGGACCTATGTGGAGCACAACACTTTTGAGATGTGTACCAAATTAACACTCCCATCGTGGATTCGGTCCCTTCCCAAGCCAGATGCAGCGAAAGAAGAGTGGGAAGAATTCATGATCAGTTGTGCAGAAGCCACTCTGAGTGATACGGCGCGTTCGTAGTAAGCATATGACAACCCGGAAAGCTTACTGTGCTACAGCGCCAGTGGCCCAGTGGTAGAATAGTGGCAGGTCTCTGCCCTTCGACCCTTCTGCCGACCTTGCTCGTGCCACTGAGTAGATAGCCAGCTCCCCTGGCTGCCTTCCAAGAGGTGGTCAGGGATGATACAGTGTACAGAAGACTAGCACTAGGAACAGCGACGTTTCACCCTTTTGTTTCACCTAGTTCATGGGGCTTGCACGATAGACCGTACTCGGAAGCGCTTGTGTATCCAGGGCTGCAGCGGCACCTTCTTCGGCGCAACTCCACACCACGCCTGATCTCATGTAGGTGCTTTGATTGAAATGGATTGTGCAGCTTTGCGGTAAGACCAGGTCCGTTCTGTGTCATATCCCACATTGATGCTGTCACCTGGTCTCTCGTGCTCCATACCTCCCCCGCTGGGGGAGGTAGTTAATTGCTTGCTGCCGTTCCTACCCTCTCATTGCCACCGCTAGTCTTTAGCGTGTCTTCGTAGCTGCCCCCCTTAGGACCCGTCTTGGGGCCTAGCTGCAATCCTTGCAAACCTTATTCCACGTCAAGTGGAATAATAGCAGGGGCTGGGGTGAGAGGCCAGGAATCAATCCTAAACCTCCTACTAACTCTCGCTAGCCCGGGGACTTTGCTCCACATGGCTGCGAGGCTGCAATGCCCGCTGTCGCACCTTAATTGTTCCCCGACAGGCATCCCAGGCTGCGCAACGACCAAGCCAAAGACACGAGCTGACTGAAATTTTGTCTCGCAGATGTGAAGAGTTCTTGACACAGTATGGGTCACCTTGAAAACACTCACTTGGTTGTTGGCGCGTACGCATTCTTTGATACAAGTTGCGTCGTGCCTTGGACCGTAAAAAGAACCTGACTTGAACCTCACTCTCGCTTTCAGTCTTGCTCATGCACACGTATACGCAGTGCACCTCCGGTGGGATACCGTCCTGCCAATAAGCTGAATGCAATTTCGTCCTGGACGTCCTGTACTGAGAGCGGCTTGAAAGGAATTCATCGCCCCGTTTCACTCCTGTGTTTGGTCTTCGGATCTGCACCTTTTGCCTTTTCAGACTAGAGCGGACATGAGCCTGATCTGCTTGGTTCCTGTTGTTGGTTTTGGGTGTGTTTTTGGGTGGTTTTTTGTTGTGTTTTGGGTTTTGGTTCTTTTGCTCTCTTTGGTCAGGCTCATTTCCTCGCACCCCTCATGTGAATTCGACTCGGTGACTTGTGCCTCTCGGCACACATAGCGCCCCTACCCGTGCAAAAGTGGCAGTCCATAACCTCCGGATGATTGGTGGGCTCCATGGATGGTGACCTTCCTACAGTCGCCATTTGAGCCGATAACTTCCGACTGTGTTCGCTCAGTTCAGTTTTACCCCTCAGGACAGCTGCTAAGGCAGATGTCCTGTCACACCAAGCTGGAACGACGGCCCGAGGGATGGTATGCTTCTGTTTCCGGTGCTTGTGCCATACGATGCCTGTGAAGGGGGGGCTGCCTGCCCAGGGTTGGTGCTAAGGCACCCGTCTTGGTTCCTTGCCGCACTGCCTTGGGGTTAGGGGAATTCCGTATGAAACTCCTCGTCGAAGGCGTCCGAATCTGGTCCTTCTGTGCGAAGCAGCTCTACCCAAGGTGGTTTTTTCAAAATTGTCGCGCATCAGAAATGCGTTATGTTCTGCCTGTACGATTCGGTCGATCTCCCCCCGAAGGGGTGTGAAGCATCTTAATTGCTCGCAGCCACGAAAGGCCCGAATGCCTATATCATGGAGCTCGGTCGGAATGACCACCTCTCGGAGCGCTATGCAGTTGAGGAACACTTCTTTGCCGATTTGCGTTAGTCGTGGCGGCAGTGAGGAGGGCTATTTTTTTTTGCGCGGGTAAGGGCGCTATGTGTGCCGAGAGGCACAAATATCTGTGCACATGAGATTGATTTCCACAAGTCGCTTGCAGTTTTCACAAGCCCGCGGGCCGATGTTGTGAAAGTCGCTTGGGAGACAGAGGTTTTCAATACCTGCACCGCAAAATGCACCTTCAGGCAGCGCTCTTGCCTTGTTGGTTTGGTCCATTGCAAAGGTGATGGATGCAAGCGTGAGACAGCTCTCGAAAGCATCTCGGCCCAGCTGCGCCCCTGGTGCAAGGACATTGCTGTCGTCTGCCTCTTGGCTGACACCTAAAATTCCAAGATGAAATCTTGTGGACCATGCATGTAAGCGCACATTGATGTCGGCATGGGACTCTTTCGTGCTCTGGTGCAAAGCCTGTCCAAGCAAGATCCTTGCAATAAATCAACCGCAGAAGTTTGATGTTTACTTCTGTGGGCAGCAGATCTTGCATTGATGTGCCTGCTCTTGCTCACTTGTTTGCCAGTTCGTCGATGGACAAGAACTTCTGAGTGCTTTGCTGAATTCACTGCCCCTGTTTCACCTCTCTTCATGCCTTCATGGCACTTCGAGTTACTCTACAGGTTGCTCCCTTTCCGGTGGTTTTTGGGTGTTTGGTGGGTTTTGGGGGGCTTGTTTGTGTTCCTCCTTTCTCTGTTGGGTCGCAACCTGGCTGGTATACGTAGCTCTCTATTCCCTCGACTAAGGTGACTTGCGCATAACCTGCACACACAGCGCCTCCACTCGTGCAAAAAAAAAAGCTGACACCGACTCTGCTGAGGGAGCAGCACTCCACAAACACCCTTCGACTGTACTGGACGCAGCCCGGGGCCACAACCTCCCGAAGGACATAGCAGCCTTGGAAAGCTCCATCTTCCAAGCTTAGGACTGAGGGGGGGAGCTTGACGATCTGCAGCTGCTGACAACCCTGCCAGGCCGCAAAGCCTACATGCTGTATGCCTGCAGCAATTTCCACATGTCGGAGCATAGGTGCTGCATAAAAGGCTCGATCTGTCAACAATTTCTCTGCGTGGATTGACAGGGACTCGTATTGCTTTAGGGTAGCTCTCTCTATCATCTG